GGCTGAACCACAATGCTGTTATATCTAAGGAGTGTGAATAATGTATTTCTTCACACATGAAAGCTTCACAGGGATGAGCTTGGTTAAATGAAGATAGAAGCAAACATCTTAATTTTCAGCCAACAGTAGCTTCTCTTGTACAGCATTCTGTTGTTTGCTGCATACCAAACTACATTCTCAAACTACAAAGGAAATTTCAACATGGTTATACGTTTTCTACTCTGTATTTTCTGGACATCAACATGAAAGTTTCAAGGGTTTCCATTGCTCCAGTACAGAAGCAGCATATATCCCAATTTAAGAGAGTGAAAATGTTTGCCTTAATTTTAACTAACAAGTCAGAAGTAAATACCAACTTTCAAGCAAAATATGTTGGACCCATTAGACATTTGAAAAAAATAAATTTACTCAAATTAATTGATTAAATGAATCAGTGTAAGACATACCTTGAGGTCTAATCTCAGATTTCCAGTGGAAAGAAATAATTGCTTCTTTTTTAACAATTGCAAGGAATAAAATATATCAATTCCAAAACCAGTAAAATCTGATGTCTCTTTAGCCTCTTCTAGCTCTGATGCTATGTGTTTGGTTTCCTCCTTGTAGAGTCAAATTTCTGTTTCAGTTACGTTCCCTGTTTTTATGTTGTGTTTTGCCCTGAAAAAGTGGTAGTGAGCAATACCACCTAAAGCCCTTTGCATACTAAGGAGTTCTGCCATTTCAGGTGCTAAAGCCTCTTTCCCTCATATGAACGCTCTCATCTTTAGACTGGAGAGCTATATTCTTTCTCTTGCTAATGAAATAAATGCTGGAGGCAGAACTTCAACTAGAGGAGGAAAGTGTGTTGTAGCGTCTTAAAACTGTCCCAAACACCTCACAGACAGGTCATCAGGCTTGCCTTCTGCATATGGCAGATACAGGGCTAAGGTACTAAACTGAAGCACAGTAAACTGTTGGAATCTCAGTACTACTGTTTAAAGCAGGGTTGAAGAGCAGCTTCTCTACCAGCTGTGTTTGAAAATAAGTAGTCCTTTTCCTCTTTAGTGGTACTTTTGAAAGGCATCTTTTGCAAGGACCCCATACTCATAGAGAGATCGCCATTAATGTATTCATTTGATACAGGTATCATTCTACCTGTAGTGCTGGACCCTAAGAGGGACCTTTGTGCTTCACAATCTCGTGCTGAGATGCTCTTCAGTGGTGGCTGCCACCAACTTCATTTTTAGAGGTTCCCAAATCCCCTTTTAGGAAGTATAACTCCAAGCATCTGATTCTGCCCTGTGAGCCAGGCATCAAAAAATGAAGCACTGCAACACCTAAGTCACTTTAGAAATTCAAATCTTCAGAGCCTCTGACTTTCATGCATAGAGGCTAATGTTGCAGATCACATGTAAGTTGTTTTTTTCAGTAATTCCATTAAATTTCAGTAATTCCATAGAAAATCTGCAGTGCCATAGTTGGAAATCTAATGGCTTTTTCAAATAGTGCTGGAAACACAAAGAGGACCTCTCACTTTGTGTTATGAGTTACCATTATTTTACTTGGTGAACAGTGGAAAATTATTTGCACAGTAAAGAACATATTATGAAATATAAACACTATTTGATTACTGTGATTATTTCACTTCCTTACGGTGAAGAGTAGATGGCAATTAATTTCTGGACCTACAGCAACCGTAGGCATATGCTGGTAAAATAGTTAGATGTTACTGTATTTACTACCTGACACTCTATTCATAATTAAATGCTACAAGTAGAACAGAAAAAACATTTCAAAAGAACTTCTAAAAAGTCATCAATTAAATATGTGGCCAAAAAAAGTTATGAACTTTAGCATTTCTTCAGTACTATTAATTGTTACTCTGTGTTATACTTATTTGAACTAACTGCAGTAACTGCTAGGGAATCAAAAACCTTCTTTACATGATTTACTGCCTGTGCATTTATGCAGTATTTAATACCACATTTTAATTTAATATTACCCTAATTTTCTATTGATTAAAATCTTGGAACACAAGCCTAATTCCATAGTCTCTACTGCTTTGAAGAATTTGTGTTCCTTCCAACATGTACTGCTTGTGAATTAGCTCATTGTACGAAACATCTGATCTTCTGGAATAAGGTTTCTGGGAGGGGATGGGTGGAAAAGTTGCAAATTAGCCTTTATTTTTATTCTCATAGTCAAACTCAAATTATATCTGTATATTGAAATATCTCTGATCTCTTTGGAACACTATTTTTTGTGCTCTGGCTATGCAAGACCAGGGTTTCTGCAATACATCAGTCAATCACTTCATTCTGTTTCAGAAAAGGGAAGGGTAAAACCAAGAACTTACAGAGTCATTGCTGATGTGGAGGGGAACAGGTAAAGTTACATATAGTTTCTGTACTTGTCACCAACTTTTCTCACCAGTTGTCAGAGAAGTCTGTAGAAAGATGAGCAGCATGAATTTCCCCTTCCTTGTGAGGAAACAAGCTCTGAGGGATTCCTACAGGTTCTGAGGTGGCCGTTTGCAGCAAATTCGCAAACAGCTGTTAAGGGCATCAAACTGAGCAAAACATTTGATCAATGAGAAAGAATACAAAATGGCACCTGTTGGATGTGCTTTCTGCATGGATCTTGTACTTATCTGCTTGCCCTTTGCACTTGAGATAGTTTTTGTCTCTGAAATGCTGTAAGAGGCAGAAGTATGACTCAGACACCATGCTAATTAAATTCCAATTGTAGAATCACCATCGTTTTCTTGGTAGAAAAGCAGGGAAAACAGCCATTGCTTTACTTTCAGGTTTCAGCCTAAATTTGTTTAAACTGAGCAAAGGTGCTATGAGGTACCTCTGATTCAGCAGGGATCTGAATGTTCCTGAGAGAAAATTGACATACCCCTACAAACGTTGTTACTGTGAAACACAAGCTGATTTTATGTCTCCTGAGCTGCTATTACTAGTAGTCTTTGTAATGTTATTTCAATGTAAGCAGATAGGAAAAGAGTCTTGCTCATATATTAGTAACATTCAGGATGTAAGAATGCTTGGAGACTAGCAACTGGTAAATTCTGGAGTGGGGGACCGAACAAATCCTGCAATCTTAAAAAAAAAATCACATCTCTTCTTTGCAAGTTGTGCCCCCATTTATCAGCTCACTGTCAACCTCTATTGTGTAATTACACTACTGTTGCAGCTATTTTTCAAAACTCTGCAGTTCTTTTAGAGAAACACATCGTTTTAACTTAGTAGCTATTCTCCTTCTGTGCACTGCTGTGATGCTTTTATCATAATACTCGTCATATGCTGGCAACCACAATCTTCTGCTACCAAGAATGGCCCCATTGAAAGGCTAAGATGAATCTTCAGATGGCTCCTTAAATTTATTCCTTTCCTAGCTTGCTGTTGCTAGTAAAGCCATAAGCTTGTGTTTTGTTGTCCTTTTTTTTTTCCGATGCCTCCTTTCTCAATCCTATTGGAAATGATGAAGACCAGGATAGGTAGCTTTGCAGGGTGACAGCTTTTTAACACTGAATAATCGATTGATGTGCATGCTAATAGGTAATGCTAGGTTTGATTAACTAATTTTGCAAATGAACATCTAAGTAAATTACTTTTGCGGACTGTTTCCAATGATTCTTTCTCTTTAATCGCCTCTTTGAATAGCTTCATACAGATTGTTGCTGCTGCTGCTAAGGATTCATATAAAACCCTTGGGTATATATTTCTTAGTAAATATATCTGGTATCACCACACATAAGAAAATCCTTCTCCTCAGACACATCTTACTTAAAGGTACGTAGTCATAGTTTCAAGCTCACTTTTTTCCCAGAATTTTCAAAGCCTTATAGGAATGCAAGTTCCCTTCACGCTCAATTCATGGTTGGTTTTAAAAGTCACTCAGATACTTATGTAACTGAGTATGCCTCTGAAGGATTTTTCAAGATTACAGACAGAGATATTTTAATTGCAAACAAACACCTGATTAGCCCAAGATGTCTTTAAAAAATCCTGCATGCTTATATGGCTATAGAGATCTGATCCTTTTGCAGAGCTAATACAAGACTGGGACTAACAATGAGAGACCTTTTTTTTTAATCTTTCTTTTCTTATTTGAAAGTAAAATATTCTTTAAACCAAAGTATCATGCAATGTAAAAATGGATACAGTGCAAATACTTCCACACCCACATTCCACATAATCAGAAAATTCATTATTCTTTCTCAAGAAGTTGTGGTCTTAACCTATACTTTGCACTTATCTCATTGTCCATACATCACTACATACCTAAATATTTGTATTTTCAGTAATTTAATATTTCTTAGATGTTTGCCTTTAAAAGATAAACTTCATACACTATCCATGGCCCATGTTGTCTTGCCTCAGCTGAATAAACCTGCGTCTGGACAGTCTTATATATTAGTTGCCAAACCACTGCGGTGCTGCTAACGCTCAAGGCATCACCTATCATATTATCTGCTCTCTGCAACCTTACATGAGCTTCTCCATGTATTCCTGAATCACATTAATTTCCAAGTCTTCATCCTTAAATACTGCATAACATTTCCTTCATACACATTGTTACATCTCCTTCCTTCCTTCTCAGTCCTTCTGCCTCTAACTTCTCTCACTTCTTTAATAACTTAGCACCTTCTCTTCTTTTGCCCTGACACAGGTTTCATGTTTGTCTGCTAATGTGCTGTCACTCATCTTTCTCTCTTTAAACCCCTCCTTAAAACCCATCTTCTGACCTTCTAGCATAGAATTATCTGACAATAATTTATCAGGAGTGAGCAGAGGCTACGTGGGTGTCCCTTCCACCCACTCGTACATGCAAAGTCAAATAATTCATTCTGAAACTCCACAGACATTTTTAAATGACAGCCAGCAACCTCTGCTTCCTCTCGTACCATTCTGCAAAACAGGGCACTGCAGACAGGGGCAGGTAGGAGAGGAAGAGCATGCCAGTTGTATTGCCTCTCAGTAGGAGAAATGTAAGACACACATTTCAGTTCCACTTACCGGTTCCTATTGCTAGAAATCCAATCTGAGATTAATGTTGCAGCCTGCTGGTGACAGTGTTTGTTACCAAAGCTGCAGGCCAACATGATGACTTCCCGACGCAACTCTCTGTCCAAATTAAAGAAAGCAATGAAGTTGCATTAATGAATGTGTTTGAATGTTTATAAAAAGCTATTTCTTATAACAGTGACAGCGACTGGCAGTCGGGCAACATATCAAAGACAATCTGCTTTACAAATCTCAGTTTCAACTTTATGCCTTCAGCTGCTGCAACAATTAAAGAAAGGTTGTGGACCAAAACCAGCCCCCATTTACACTTAGACACTTTTCCTAACCTCCATGGTCACTTCAGTTCAAGTTCTCAAATATCCAGTGCAGTCAGATATTAAGTTAGGGCTTAGAAAACCGTGTTCTCCCAACTTAGGAAAGAAGAATTCATCTCACAGCATCTTTCTGCTCTCCTTCTAATCCAGAAAGGAAAAACAGAGGGGCAACAGAGCTAGGGGATTATGACATGCTGAAGATGACACTAAACTTTAGGAGAGTGCATTATTTCAACTATATTCCACAAATAAACAATAAAAAAAAGAAATATAACAGTACTCATGTTGGTAGGATGCTTGAACAAGTGATTTGTTTAAATTGTTCATTGGCCATCCAAGCTTCAGATACATTGATGCAACTTGTCTTAAAATATACTCCTGAGGGGAAAAAGAAAAATATATTTAATGTTAACCATCATGGGTTTTTTTACTTGAAACTGAAATACTACTGACTACTGAGGTTTAACCCTTTCACCCTCAAAAAATAATGTCCAACTCCAAAGATTTTGATTTGCATTTAGCAAAGCAACTTGTCCACTTATAATCCCCTTTCACCAACAGAGTAAGAATCAATCTGTAGAACAGCTATTTGATTAGATGCCAAGTATAAGACAATTTATTGCTAAAAAATCCATCACTTTCAAAAGTTTATTACATGCTATTTTGCAGTCACAATACACAGCTGAAAAATTGCAAGAGTGTCAATAGCTTAATTTTTACTCTATGGCCAATCTGGACTATATCTTGAATGTTCACTTTTAAAAGAACATTGTTTTAATAGCCATAGCCATAGCAAAAACATTATCTGGGTACAGTCAATTGCCTTTGGAATACATAACAATGTGGCTGCAAATAAGCTTTGTACACTTAATGATACTATGCTATAAGTTTAGGTTCCCAGTGTGCTTAAAGAACAAAATAAGCCCAAGATCTATTTTAGTGAATTCTACTTTTTACGCAAGAGACATACTTACGTATTCTGACCAGTTTTAAAGAAAACCACTGTCATTGTATTCAGCGTAATCTTTTGCCAGTGGAATTCAACAATTTGAAAAAGAGAACTGAGATATACAGAACTGCATATGAGAGCATCTATTTTATCATTGCAGATGCATAGGCATGTATAGATGACAACACATAAGAAAATTCACAGTGCAGCTTTTTCTAGCAAATACGTTATTCTGTGACTAAAAAGACTTTTTATTTCTTCTGCTATCACCTCTGCTTTCAAAACTCCTATCTGTAGTGATAAAACATAACCTAGCTGTGAATTTTACTGGTTTTATTTATTAAAATTGTATTTTCTTTACACAACCAAGTTTAAAAGTGAAACAGGCTCCTAAGAATTTTTCTGTGCAGTTAACAACAGACTAAACATGCATATCATTTCAACATTTTACATTATGGCTCTGGTTTGCATGTAGACCTACACTGTAGGTTCATAAAAATTTCGATGTGTCCTTATTAATCTGTAGTATATGTTCTACAAAAATAATTTTCCATGTCATCAGGTGTATATTTGTATATGTGTGTGTGTGTGTGTACTTGATGATCCTTGTGGGTCCCTTCCAACTCAACATATTCTGTGATTCTCTGATATATATGTATGTACTTCTACATACATACATAAATCCAGCTACTTCTAACTTCCTGCTCTCTGAGCATGGTGTGTACGGTCACACACACACACAAACAAATATATATTTAACAAGAAGCATCCTTAAGCATTTCAGGTTTTTAAAAGTTCCTCCATTTGAAGTCTTTACAACATTACATAGTTACCGTATGTTGACCATTGAAAATATGTAGACTACATAAACTTCACAGTGAATAAAAATCCCAAGACTTCATAATAGTTACTGGCTGCGGTCAAATCTCATGTACTTCATAAACGATGCTTCAGTGTAGCTATGATTTTTTTTACTATTTCAGATAACATGTTAAAATATTTGTCATGTCTATCTTAATTATCTACTGTGAACTGTTACTGATGTCCCTTCGGATGCAATTATGAATGGGCTTTGACTCAATGGTGATCTAATTCTTGTTAATTAAGGGAACTGCATTCAATTCACTATGGATTTTTGGATGAAATAATGCCTACAAATCTTCGCTTCAGTTGCATGTGTTCTGTTCTGTTGTGCCTGCATTTGGTGCTGCTGAGCCTGTGCATCAACCTAAATATCACCGTGGGGCTCCTCAAAAGAGAAAATCTGGAAATAGAATACTTTGGCTTTTTTAAGTGAAATACTTTGTCATAACATTTTACAGGAGGGATAATTACCTTTCCCTCTACTTATCATAAGTGCCTCAAACAACAGTCATCACCGTTCAAATGCAAATGCACCAAAGCTTGATAATTGCTACATTTAAATAAAGAATAATTAGGAAGAAAGTTAATATCCCTAGGTCATTTACAGTATCTGAATGGGGAACAGTTCAAGTCTTGGCAATAAAAGGAGAGAGTAAGAGGAGAAAGGAAGAAAAGTTAAAAAAAGGAAGAAAGAACAGACTGACAAAGAGAGGGAGGGAAAGAAAGAAGGGAATAACTAGAGGAAGAAAGAGAGGAAGACTGTATATCTTACATTGAAGATGTTGTAGTTTTCTGTGCGGTCCAGCAATTTATCTAGAGGATAAAGAGCTCGGCTGGCAGCGTGCCAAGGCAGAAAATCTTTTTCCTCTGAAAGGTATCTGATAATCTCCAAAGGAATATTCTGAGGCAAATAACCAGCTCTGCACAATAAAAGAAGTTAGTATTAAATTGGTTTTCAGAAGATACACAATGAGGCAAAAATTATTTATTTTTTTCCCAAATGAAATTAAAATGCATAAAAACATGATAAACTCATCACACTTCAATGATACAAAAGTCAACCTTATAAAAATCAGCAACTTGCAGTCTCTCCCAACACATGCAAGCATATTGAATTGATGAAGCAAGGCATGAACACACATGAAAGAAAACTAGACAAGCTGTCCCTACCTTGTAGGGATACTTGTGGCTATAAGACATGAAAAAAAAGTAACTAACTTCAAGAAAAAAAAAAAACCAACAACAAATCAAAACAAACAGAAGGTGTTGCTTTTCTGATTTGTAAGACAGAAAGTTGTCTGCATAAAATCAACAATCCAAGGCACTTTGCTTCAGAGAACATTTTTACTGGCTGTGGACAATTGGAAAGAACTAGTGGTGAAGAAGTAGCTTTAGTTTTAGTTATTCTCCTGAGTCATTTCTTTCTCCTTTAGAGCTGCCTTGTCTTTTACCACCTTCAGTCACTTTGGAATGATTTATCCAGTGGCATCACTGTGGTTAAGGATGTTTCAGTACTTACCACAATTTGTGGAAAAAACTATGTTTTTTCCAGATGTTTATAAACCAACTAGCTAGAATTCTGCCCCATTATTTTACAGTCACAAAAGACCTCTCCCTGAAGGGGAAAGAGTTTAGGAGGGAGTCAGAAAGGCTTAATTAATAGCATTGCAAGTAAAATGCAGTACAGACACAAGCATTTGAAAGCTACTTTTAAAAACCAAGTACAGAAAACATCAAGCTTTAGGTTTTGCTCTCATTTTCTTTTTCAGAACGGCATTTTTTCTTAACTATCCAGATTGCAAAAACAAAGTACAACCCTGTAGGTGTGAACTTTCCAGAAACACATGGTCTACTCTTCGCCTGATGCATGTGTTTAAATCCAAAAGGAGTCATCTATCTGCCTAGGGAGGAGATAATGATTCTGTTTTCATTAAACACTTAAAATCAGCAAGGTGAATTCCAGAAACTTCAATATAACATAGGCTAAACTATTATATAGCTTCATAGACTAGTTTTTCTCCTTGGTTGTAAATATTCCTTTCATTTCCATCAATGTCTGGGGAAGAAATGCATGCTTACAGCAAACAAATAAAGCTAGACACATTATTTCAGAAATTGACCCATACATACGAGTTAATATAAATTATCTCAGTTGTAATTGTATATAAAAACTACCTTGCTGAAATACTTGAAATAGATTGTTTTCTTGCAACATGCACTGCATCTTGCAGGCCTTTCTTTTTCACACTCTCTATTGGAACAATTACACTTTGTTCCCTTCATGTTCTCAGCAAAGGAGTTCATGTGACAGTTTTCAAAAGTATCTATCCCATGTCATTATGATGACCCACCCTCCAGTCTGTTTCATGTCATCTTTGTCCACATTTTGTCAGCTCTGTTTTCAACTCCTGTTACAGCACATACTCAAGCAAGAAAAACAAGATCACTTGGGGAGGTCACTGTGTCAACTGAGGAACTGAGCAGATATGAAATGACAGTGGTGGAGCTTTTAGAGTAGGTGGTGGACAAAGTTCATTACATCTGAAGACAGGTTACTCCATTTTATAGGTCTCTTATTTCTGAAGCAACAGAATATCAGTAAGATGAGTTCTAGGTCATAATACTTTGTAGAGATTTATAAACATAATTAACGGAGACAGAAGTACGCTGGACTGACTGCAGTTAAAAATATTGGAGATAATGTTAGCAAAGAGGTAAACTAGTTTGAAGTTGGTATATATATAATCAGTTCCTAATGGGATTTGTGATTATTTTTACTGATAATTTGATTGACATGAGAAAGTGTAGAGTAAGAAACAAGAAGAATAGCTCTAGGAAACATGCTGCTTAAGGAATAAACAGATTAATGCTTATTATAGCTGCACTAATGGACATTTACGTTCATGTTCTGAAATTAAATCTATCAATACTAACCGCAAAAGGAAAATCACCACTGAAAAACAGATTATTTCTTTTTAAGCTTAACTTCTCCATAAAGACACATAAGAAGTGAACTCAGAGAAATTGATCTCTTATCCTGAGTTCTTCAGAGGTTCCTAATGAGTTTCAAAATCATGATTCTTGGCTGATGGTACTCATCCTGTTCATAACAGAAGCTGTTACTCTCATCACTCACTGCTTCTAACTTCCAAATTTATCAGCCCATTCAATTCTGCCTGTCTCACTCCCTGACTCCCCACTTTTCCTATTGTTTCCCCCTAAGAGTAGAGTGCAACTTACAAAAACAGATCAGGGCAAAGTCTGAGTTTTTTTCTGTTTACTCCTGACCCTCCTTCTCTTTATGGGAATGACCCTTGAAGAGCTTACGCACAGTATCATGAAAATCACACCGCTACACACACATCAACAAAACAGTCCCAAGAGAATGGATGGGGGCGAGGGGAGGTTTTTGGGGATGACATTATTATATAAATGACAACAAATTCGTCACTTCAGACCATGATTTTGAGGAAAAGTGGTCATGGCTGCTACAGTCAATGTTAAACTGTCTGTCAGCACAAGCTGGGCAGTACAGATGCTAGGCTGGACCTCTGAGGGAACTTGAGCAGAGGCAAATCTAAAATCTTCTTACAGTGGCAGTTAAGACAGGAGCACTGGAGAAAACAAAAGTGCTTCAGGAACTTTACTTTGGCTTAATGTCCTTTATTGTACAGATGCCTACAGAAAACCAAGACAGCCCTATTCTTTTACCCTCAGCCACTAAGTCACATTTATGAACTTCTTATTCCAAATATACTGCGCTACCAGACTATTTGGCATTAAATAGCTTCTGTCAAGAGGTAATGATAAGTACATTCATTGTTTCACCGTTTTGTGTAAAACGTGGCATATGCTACAAATTATTAACTGTATATTATAGTTTTAAAAGCTTGAGGAGTATTTTCTTTCCCTCCCCCCCCCAAAAAAAAAAAAATCACATCAAAACCAAGGAAAGAGTTTAGTAAGTGTATAAGGGTAAGGTCAAATACTAATTTTTGGCATTCGTAGTTGAGAAAATAGAATATAAGGAGAAATTCTCACACTAGAGCATAAAAGAGACAAATAATGAATGATAAAACACACAAAAAGTTTTAGGACTTGTGTGAAGTGTGCCAGGAGGTAACATGACTACCATGGCAAGCAGGTCAGCAGAAGACAGAATCTAAACCAATCACAGTGACTGTGTGGTGAGCTATGCTCTAGCATTCTGCACCTTCACAAAGCACAGCAGCTGGTTTCTTAAGCTGTGTATTTTAGTATAATCATATTCTTTTACTTTACACTGAAAGCTTGTCCAGTGCTGAGTGACATCAAGACTCCTCTTTCCCAGGGAATACTGCATTCAGCAAGATGCACTGGCTCACTTCAACAACAGCAAACCAGCCATTGCTAGGATCCTCCTCACTAGCCTGGAAGAACTAGGTTCAAGGATGGTTACACAGGATCTGGTCATCAAAAACATTTATGAAGCAGGATAATAACCAAAATGAGGGAAGAAGGCAGAACAGAGGATGAATCTGTTCTGAGTATATCTGTAAACTTTGTTGGAAAAACACAGACCTGTAGAAATGTTAAACAGAAATGTTTAACACTTATAATAAGAAAAGCTATATATAAAAGTTATTATAATAAGAACCTTCCCATCAAAGGTAAAAATGTAAAATAATTTCCCTGTCATATAATTGCCTGGAAATATTCACTCAAAGGTACTACAGAGTATAAGATAAGCTTAGTACATACTATACACAAGCATCTTGATTTATTACTCTCTCTTCCAACAAAGTCACTGGAAGGTCAGTGACAGAAATCCTTATTTTTCTTGTGTCTTTTTAGCCATCAATCATATTGCCATCCTTAAGTCCAGCAAAATTACTATCAGATATTGCCTGTCAAAGACCAAATGCATGAGAGTTAGGGCTAAGAGACAAGGTTCTTTTCTAACTTAGCCATCTTGGAGAAAAATTGAAATATTGTCTGTCACTTGGAGAATAGCTGATTATGGGCTATACTGGAACCAGGAAACAAACAAACACCACAGAAATACCATGATGTCCAATCTTATGTCTGGTCTAAAAAAGTCACACTGTTTTTCTAGGTATGTCTCCAGTAGCCACCCGAGTATCTTAGCAAGCATGTACCTACAACCAAAAAAATTCTGCTGGGGAATCTGGTATAGTTTTGGCAAGTATCTTAACAGATAAAAAAGTCAAATAAAGCGGTATTGATGCATAAACAGTGGTTGAATGCATACTGATGTTCAGGTAAAACATTTCTCAAGGGTAAGGTTAAAGAGTTTACAAAACTTCACTTATAGTGTCTGAAATTAAAAGAACCTTAAGAGCTCATCTAGTCTCTCCCTACCCAAAACAGACTCATACCAGTGCCATTCCTGACAGAAATTGGTCTAGTTTTGTTTATATAGGTCTCTAGTGATGGGTATCCTAGGAACACTACAATTTCAGTACTCCTCTGCCAAGAGGCATGATTAAGAATAACATACCTCTGGTCTTTTCCTCTGTAAATATTCACAGAAGAGTACCAACAGATCCACTTCATATTCTAAAATGAACTGTTGTTCATGTAGTTTCATTATAAACTACATAAAGCGGACATCCCTCTTTTTTGTATTTTAGATAAGAGTATTTTGATTGACATCATGGATCATAGAGAAAGCAGCCTAGACTTCAAAAAGAGCCTCTACAAGCCATCTCAAAGCCAGCTTTCTCCATACTGAGTCATTTAAAACACATGACTACAAAAGCAAAATTTAACCAAAAAGATCACATTTGAGACACTTCATTGCTTTATCCATTTTATATAATTGTCCTTACCTATAAGTTTATCAGCATGTCAATCAATCTGTAGCCATTCCTACACAAGAGCATGTGTTAGAAACACAGCACCACATGAGGTTTTACTT